TCATCCTTAGTCATTGTCCAACACTCTGATGCATCGCAAGTGGTGGCAAAGACCAAGGCCTGGATGAGGGACTTCTTTGTCTCTACACTGACTTCATTGCTCTACAGCACTCTGGAGAGGTCCCTCACAACAGATATTCCCAGTGCAATCCCCTTTTGATAAGATATTTTAAAATGTGTTTTGGCTTGTGAAAGTCATACTAATTATAGCAATGTGTGTGAATTAATGAATTACAAAGCTATGTCATTATAATTATGAATATGTATGCTGAATCAAGGGGTCACATAAACTCTGTTGATTTCTTTTAATTATAATATCAAGCCTCTGGTCGTTTACTCACACTCTGTCATTTGTTGTCATGTGATACATGCACACACAGAGAACTAAAAAAGTATTTAGAAAGAGTGTCGCTGTAATCATTCTAGTCAGAACAAAGCAAGACATGCTCTGGTGAGAAGGTCAGCAAGCTCAGATATGTAACCTTCATCAGTAAATCCCTGACTTTGCTCCTGGGATGTAAGAACTTTCATTGTTGGTGTAGTTTGTTAACTTGCTTTGTTATGCACAAATACACATAAAAGCAGGCACTCTTTCAGCATTTCTGCACGTACAAAAATGCAGCATTGATGACTTTAGTCACACTGTGTAATCACCCTTACTATTCTTTGCCAACTTTTTCTATCACCCTTACCACTCAGTGCACCCTCAGGAATGACTCCCTTTTGGCTGCCACCCACCCCCCAGCCCTAGTAATTACTAACACACTCTTGGTCTCTACGTATTTGCTTATTATAGAGAAGAAATTATTCTTTTAGTGGCTTAAGAGTTCCTTCAAACAGTCACTAATGGTCTAATACAAGTAGAAAAAGCTAAAAGAGTCCAGATTTTTAGGATCAAATCAAACTGGAATCTCAGCTCTTCCACTTTGAACATGGCCATGAATAATTATTTCTTACTTTTAACCTGGAGATGAGAATAATCATTTATTTCTTCAGCAAATACTTTCTGAGTAACTACTGCATGTCCTCTACTGCTCCGGGGGCTAGAGGCCAGTGAAGCCCCCTGCCTTGAAGGAGCTTCCATTGCATTGTGGAAAGGCAAGAAATAAGCGTATAGTTATGTAAAATGTTAGTGGGCAGTAGAAGCATGGAGAAAAAGAAAGCATTTTCAGAATGAAGAAAGAGATGGCTCCTTGGATACTGTAACATCTGAACTGAGACCTGTGGGAAGGACTGAACCGTGAATCTGAAGGAGAGCTTTCCCAGCAGCGTGATCTTAAAGTACAGGAGATAGAGTGCACAAGTAGGTAACAAGGTCAGACAGAAGGTCAGAGAGTTGGGCAAAATGGAGAAGTGTTTTAGTTCAGATCATACATGATCTTGGAACTGAAGGGAAACCAGTGGAGACTTTTAAGCAACGAACTGGCATGATTCTATTTGTTTTAAAAGAATCACCATTTGGCAGGAAGAGAATTGACTAGTGGAAACCAAGAAGCAAAATCCCAAGTGTTGATTTCAATTCATCACAACCCTTTAGGACAGAGTCTTCACTCCCATTGACTTTCCAAGATTGTGAATCTTTATGGAAGCAGACCACCACCTCATTCTCTCTCTCACAGAACAGCTGGTGGGCTCAACTACTGTGCCACCGGGACTCCAGACAGAAAGAAAAAGACTAATTAGTAGACTATTTCTACAGTCCTGGCAAGAGGATGGTGGCCTGGCCATGGCCGTTAAGGATGGAGGTACTGAGGGTGTAGGTATTAAGGACGGAGATACTAAGAAGTAGCTGAGTCCAGGGTATGCTTTAAAGGCCCAATCAATAAGATTGCCAATGAGGGAGGAGTGTTTGGAAATGGTCCCAAGTTTTGCCTTGAGCAATGTGGAGAAGGGAGATGCTACTATTGAGAGAGATGGAAAGAACCAGCTGTCACGAAATTGACTATGATTCTTGGTAACTCCTTGAGTGAGGAGCAGAACTGAGTTCCGTAAGGTTTTCATGACCAAAATTTCAAGAGTAGATCACCAGATACATCTAGGCATTTCTGGGTGAGCTCAAAGATCCAATCTTTGATTACCAGCTGAACACACTAACTGTTTGTATACTGAGGGAGTCAGGCAGTGTGAGGGCCTGTTAATTGTTCTAAGTTTATTGCATGAAAATGCATTTATACAATAAATAAGCTGATGTAAATGAAACACACACAGTCCCTGGCTGACAGCAGGTGTTCATTCAGTCTTGGGTTCCTTTCTTATTCTTTCTAACACTTCTTTGTTACTTACTCTTGTCTTCTGGATGAATGTAATCACTGCTTCCCCTTTTCTTTTTTTATTCACTATTTCACCACAGAGCAATATATAGTCAAATAACTTCCAGAAGAGTCCAGCCTAAAACCTTAGCCAGAAGGAAGGTCAGCTAAAACCTTACCCAGAAAGAAGCAACAACAAATAAATCATATTTTTAAATAAACAAAGAGAAATGTTTGATGCCAAAACAACATGCATGACCATCCTGCCAAGGCCTTGAAGTACTTCAAGTGCTTCTGCATCCTAAAAGTTTCTCTGGTATTGAGTGTTTTTAATAGAAATTCTGTGAAGAGTGAAATATAATATTTTATGAGCATTTTTCTTAGACTTTCTGAAGAGAGCCTAAGAAATTGAAGTTACAAAAGAATCTGTAGAAACATTTACTGAATATATATTTTGGGGCAACATTTCCTTATTGTTTTAATTCTTTTGGTTTCAAGTTTTGAAGCATAGTATTAAAAAAAAAGAAATAATGTAAATGTAAATGTCTGTGACCTTGTAGTATGTAAATACATCTTGGCAATATTTTATCCCAAGCTGAAAAAGAACCACCTTGTAAATAAAATCATACAGACTACATTTAAAAAGAAACACAAAAACATAAAGCCAATTCTTGAAAATGCTATTTTGTAGATTCATCTGAAATGTCAGCATTCAGTTCACATGTCACTATATGCAAAGAGTCATCAGCATTCAATTTCTGAATGCTTTTAGTTGAAAATATTCTGCTTTTAAAAATTCAATTCCATCCCCTTGGTCTGAGTTGAGTAATCTTGTGTTTTTCCCAAAGCCCTCCTCCATGCAAAATTTCTCATAACTGATCTAATCCTTAATCCAAAATAGAGGACATCCCCCATACCTTACACAGTAGGAACAAATAGCACATTCACCCCGTTGTCACTACACCTCTCTCTCTCAGGAAACATCTTGTGATTATGTGACTTTAAGTAGAATAAAAGCTGGGAGTGTTTTTGTCAGCTGCAGTGTGTTTAGTCCCTGACTCATGCTAACTTCATGCACAAGAGAAGGAAATAATCAGTTGTAGTTAAGACCTGTTATCCTTGGGGTTTTCATTGGCCTTTCATCCTACTCTGTTTTGGTCTGTCAATTGAACTTTGTTTGACATGAAAAATAGGAGCCAAACAAGGACCTGTCTCTCTTGCATGGCAAGTAGCCATATAGATTGGTCAATACAACCCTTGTAGGCATCTCAGATGTGTAACTTGTGGGGTGTAATGCTAAATTTGAGCACCGATTGTTAACAGCTTCAACTTGCTCAGCTCCACCATCCACACTCCAGGCACCAGCAGTCAGGAAATCAAAAGATGAATTGCATTGGGAAAATCTACTGTTAGAGACTTCTTCAGAGTACTGAGTAGCAAGGATGTCAGTCTAGAGACTAAGGTGCGCCCGAGCCAGGCCATGGTAACTGGAGTAATAGGGGTTGGTGTGTTGAAATTAGTGAGACCGGCTCAGGACATGGCAGGATTCAGAGCTGCTGTACATGGGGTCACTATGAGTCGCAGGCAACTCAATGGCACATAACAACAGCAACACGACAGAAGCCTCTTCAGACTCCTCATGGTACATAGTAGAAAGCAAATCTCTGAGCCAGCCTTTAGTATAAGATTAAAAAAAAAAAACAAACCCAAAGTAGTTGGTGTAAGGTTGCCGAAGAAGGACAGAAGCAAGTTCAGGTCAAAAAAGACAGTTTATTGTGGAGAAACTGCCAGGCTGGCTCATAAGCAGAAAACCAGTCCCCACCAAAACTCAGAGAGGGGTTTTATACTGTTTTACAAGGAACTTGGGGAGGGGGCTGCTCATAGTTGTTCTTCACAAGAAGAGGCTGGGGTCTTAGATAACTATTCCAGGGAAACAGAGGTCGAGCAGTTCTACGTCCTCAACTGAGAGACAACCACAGTTGCTGCTTTCTGTGGTTCATCTCAGGGGCCATTGTAGGAGAGGAAGGAAAGGGCTCTGCAATCCTTGAGTTGATACTGATTGGACAAAGCCCAGAGTCAACTGTTTAGTCTTTTTCCACGTGGTTCTAATTCTAACCTTCCTAACACACGATCAGGAAATCATTTCATTTCTCCCCAGGAAGGATTAATTTCTTCATGTTTTTCTTTCAATTTAATCTTGTAAAGCAAGTAGGAACAGTTACCCAGGTTCCACTGTCATGGTAATTTATAACAGTTATGACCAAAGAATTGTCACCTTTGAGCTGTGGTTTTGGAGAAGAACACTGAACATCCCATGGACAGCCAAGAGAATGAACAGACATGTCTTGGAGAGGGTGGAGCTAGAGTGCTCTTTGGAGGCAAGAATGATGAGACTTTGCCTCACATACTTTGGACATGTTACTAGGAGGCGCTATTCCTTGGAGAGAGACATGATGCTGGGAAGTGTGGAGGGTTGGCAAAGGAGAGGAAGACCTTTGACCAGGTGGATTGACACGATGACTGCTGCAGTGGGCTCTTGTGTGTCAGGAAGAGTGAGGATGGCACAGGATGGAACAGGGTTCACATCTTTTGTTCATAGGTTCACTATGAGTTATACTTGACTCAATGATACCTAACAATTAACAACAACATGTTGTCTCCTGAGATGTCCCTTTTCAAGCGAGGCTATCCCTACCCTTTGACTGAGACAGGAAAGCAAATTGGTTTTGACTGGTCTGCTTTTGAATTCCAGGGATAGTTGCTGTTCTCTTCTGTGGAGTCACACAGGCACATTATACCTACAACAATCTATCGCTGGATTCCAAAATGAGGACTAAACAGGTAAGAGGGAAGAAAAAAACTATCATTACAAAGTTTGTTTCTTTTCTCCATGTGATGGTTATGTAGCAACACCAGCAGTGCGATTGCAGAGAATGTCCTTAGTAAAAGAAGAAAGTGAACTTAAGGCTTCATTATGGATAGGGTATTTATAGATTTCCCCCCCCCCCCTCCAGGATAAGCATTAACCATCCTCTTGGTAAGCAAAAATATAGTTTGAATAGTCTCTCCCTCCTGAGAGGTAGAGAATGTAGACTGTCAATCTTGAAGATGAATGTCCTCGAGTCGGTAATAATTCACAGTCACTTACACCTAAAAGCGTTCTAAAACATGTGAGGCTAGATGGTTCTAGAGAAAGAAGGAGATGAAGAAGAGGACGTAAGCAGGGTTTCCTCTTTAACTGATTGCTTTTGCGTCCAAGCAAACACAACTGCTGGTTGTCACACTAGCAGAATCTATTCCCCCATCTGCCCAGAATACAGCTGCTGGGAGATTTGCCTAAGAACACCATCTATTGTTTCTGCATACAAGTGCTTCCGAGTCACTCTGTGCCAAGGTACACTAGGTGGTTGGAATACAAGGACATAGACTATGCAATCCTATCAGCAAGCGGTGCACTATCACATTATCAAGGCAGCTGATCAGGATTAAAATGTTAACAATCAACCCATTACTAACTGTGTGCTAAATACTGTGATAGAACCTGGAACAGGATATTCAGAGAGCTTTCAGGCAGGCATTCTCTCACAGCAGGGTTTGGGAAGGTCAAGGGCGAGATTGCAGAGGTAACACCTTATCTTAAAATACAAAGAGAATATAAAACCATTATTGTAAAATGACTATAAAGTTCCAGGGGTGGGGAGGGGGAGCATGGAAGCAGAGGGATGGGGAACGTGGGGGGTTGGGGGTGGATTAATCCTGGAGTTTTACAATTTGGTGGGTGGGGAGTGAGGGAAATTGTTAGAATTTGTTCTGGAAAACAATGTATTTGAATTTTGTAAACAAACTACTACAATGTTTTTTTTAAAATGCAAAGAGAGAAGTGAGTTAAGTAATTGAGAAAGATTGAATGTGAAAAACAATGTATAAGCACTTTGTAAGTAAACCAGTATAAAATTTAAAAAAATGTATGCATAAAAAATGCAAAGATAAATTAATTATATAAAGATTTAAGGTCTTCTGGGGTGGGGCCAGGGAGCAGCAGGACAGGTGTTTTTAGCCAAAGGGCAACATGGATAAAGGCTATACCTAGTTCAGTATGACCTAGCTGTGGTTGTTACCTGTGACCCATAGTGACCCTATGTACAGCAGTTCTGAAGCCTGCCCTATCCTGAGCCAGTCTCACTAATTCTAACATGTTGTTGTTGTTGTTTAATGCCGTCGAGTCGTAGACGACTCATAGCGACCCTATGAACGAACAGCCTGAGCACTGTTCGTGCATAGTTTCTGGAGGCAAGCCATTTCAGAAGTGGATGCCGCTCCTGCTTCCAGGGTTGTTTTAGTCGGGAATCTCCAGCCAGCACTGTCCACCATGGGTACCCATTACCATGACTGGCACGTCACTGTCACAGTCTTCAGCATCACAGCAACCACGAGTTACCTCTGTACAGCAACGCACAGACCAGTGCTATACCACCTAGAAGAATGTTTGACAGGAAGACAATTTGAACCTGAACTGAGGGCCACAGGCCCAAGGGTCCTTTGGGCTTAAGGCCGCCTCCTGGTTCAAACCCTAGGCCCAGGCTGGCTAGCCTCACTCCAGGGACAGAGCAAACCTGCACGTCAAACACATTCCCAGAAAAGCAGTCGACTCCAAAAGCTTGCCACAATTCCTGCGCTTACACCACCATGCTCCTTCCTTCTGGCAAGGAGAGCTTCCCAAGAGCCTGGGAGCCTGGGAGGAGCCAGCCAAAACCCAATTCTAACATACCAACCCCCAATACCGCAGTCACTGTATCAATTCATCTTATCCAGGGTCTTCCTCCCCTGCACTGTCCCTCCACCCTTCTGAGCACGATGTCCTTCTCCAAGGACCAGTCTCTCCTGGCCATGTGCCTAAAACATGTGAGATGGAGCTTCAAAATCCTAGCCTCCAAGGAGAGACTGTGTTTCTCCATCTCCAAGACAGACCTATTTGTTTTCTTGGTGGTTTATGGTATGTTCAAGACTCTTCTACAGCACTACATCGATTCTTCTTCTGTCATTCGTAGCCATTGTCCAGCTCTCTGACACAAAGCAAGTAAGACCATGCTCAGTAGATGAGGCTAAAGGCAGTAAGATACAATGAGAGATAAGACTAGAAATATGGCCTAAGGCCGTCATATAAAACGATTTGTATATAACTTCTCAAGGAGTTTAGTTTTCATCCTTAAGATACTGTGGAGTCATTAAAGTACCTTACACAAAATAATTTTAAGATTATGGATGTTCTATTTTGAAAAGAATTCTCTGGCAAACATGGAAGGACTGAATTGAATGACTGCTCTAGCATTTATTATTTATCTGTCTTCCTGCCTACTTTTTTTCTGTATAACAACCAGCCACGTCCAGTGGTATCACAGTGAACATCTATTTATGATCTATCCATCTGGTTCAATTGTTGTGGGCTGGGATAGGGTGAGTGGATCTGCTTGTTCCTAATGGGCTTCCTTGTTGAATCTGGGGGTTTTCTAAGGGTTCTGTCATAGGGAAAATCTCACTGGGATACCTTAGCCAGTTCCATGTGTCTCTCACTCTTCTCGTGAATAAACAGCAAATTCAAGTCCATTCAAAGTCTTCGTTTTCAGGGAGCTCTGGTGGCCTAGTGACAAGAAGCTGTGCTGCAATCCTGAGCATGTGCAGTTTGAATCCACCAGATGCTCTGATGGAGAAGGAAGGCAAATCTCCTCCTGTACCAGTCAGATCCTATTTGATAGTACACAACAAGGGAAAACAAAACAAACCCCAAAAAACGCAACAAATCTGCCAGGGAAGGAGGAACAATCTCCTCCTGTACCAGTCAGATCCTATTTGATAGTACACAACAAGGGAAAACAAAACAAACCCCAAAAAACGCAACAAATCTGCCAGGGAAGGAGGAACAATCTCCTCCTGTACCAGTCAGATCTGATCTGACGGTACACAGACACACACACACAATAATAATTTTAAAAAGGGGGGGAAGCAACAAAAATAAGTCTTTGTTTTCACCCAATATTTGGTGACAGAGTCTGCAAGATTGCACTTTTAACCCAAATACAATGGCTCTCTGTCTGTTGAAATCCAGCAGTTATTCCATAAGAAAAAGGTGTGCCCTCTCCTCCTGTTTGATTACAGCTTCAGAAACCTTCTGGGGACAGCTATGAGTTGGTTCTAACCTGATGGCAATGAGTTTCTTAGCCCAAGAAAACTGTGAAGCTGAGTCCAGAGTCAAGAGACCAAGCAGGTCACCTCCTTACTGGGGAGGAACACTATGAAACTGTATATGGCTTCAGCTGGGATGGTGACCTGGTCACACAGGCAAGCATGCCTTTCTTCTGCAGAGACCTGGAAGGACAGGGAGGCCCCAAAATGGACAAGAATTCAAACACCTTGAAGTCTGGGAGAAAAAGGAGTGGGAAGACAAAAGTCAGGACCAAATAAACAGAAACCCAGGATGGATGACAGAGCCAGCTGAGCTTGACCGGAGAAATGAAGAAGAAAAAGACTGGGCTTTGTCTTCGCCAGGGTCAGCCACCGTGGAGAAGACAGGCCTTGTCTCTTCACTGCTCGCTGACAATGAGCCAACAGAAGCTTCCATCAGACATTGTAGGCTATTCTTGATCCCTTGGCCATGACCATTTCTCCACAACAAGAATTCCAAGACCATTTTGAGATTAGGAAGAGAGGCCTTGAGCTGACATGGAGGTGAGACCTTCCTCCAATCTTTGTGCTGTCAACCCCAAGGCACACAGTTTGAATTCACCAACTGCTTCTCCCATGTAATTAACTGCCTCTAAAAATCTGCTAGAAGATCAGTTACGTGTCAGTTTCAACTTGACAGTATAAAACAACTAGCTATTACAGAGATGCAAATCATGACAATAATGAGATACCATCTCACTTCACCAGTAATAGGAAAGCTCAACAGAACAGAATACAGCAAATGTTACTAAGGATCAAAGAAGTTCTCCTATACGGCTGGTGGGAATGTGGAATGGAGCAATGACTAGAGAGAGCAGCCTGACATTTCCTCAGTAAGTCAAAAATAGAAATCTCATTTGAAGCAGCTAGTCCACTACTGGGAATATACCCTAAGTAAATCAGAGCTGTGATACAAACAGATGTATGCATACCCATGTTAATTGCACCATTACTCACAATAGAAAAGAGATGGAAGCCGCGGAGTGTCTATCAACAAACAAATCGATTGAAAGACCAAGGTATATAACAATCAATGTTATGTAGCATAGAAAAAGTCACAAAATATTGAGTAACTCACAAAATGTGTACATCATGGATGAGTCTAGAGAACATTGCTGTTGTTGTTAGGTGCCGATGAGTCACGTATGACTCATAGCGACCCTATGAACAAAAGATCTGTACCCAGTCCTGTCCTGCACGCTGTTCACACTTCCTGACACACCTGAGCCTATTGCAGCAGTCACCGTGTCAAATCACATGGTTGAGGGTCTTCGGCTCCTTCACTGACCCCCACCCTTCCCATCATATGTCCTTCTCCAAAGAATAGCACCTCCTAGCAACATGCCTGAAGTATGTGAGGCAAAGCCTCATCATTCTTGCCTCCAAAGAGCACTCCGGCTACACCCTCTCCAAGACATATCTGTTTGTTCGCTTGGTCATCCATGGGATGTTCAGTGCTCTTCTCCAACACTACAGCTCAAAGGCATCAATTCTTCTGTCATCTGAGTGAAATAACTCAGTCACAAAAGAACAAACACTGCATCACACCACTGTTATAAAAACAAATGGCTACTCAGGAGTGATGGAGAGAGTAAGAAAAGAACACTATATTGAAGAGGGGA